TCTGTATTGGAATTTCAAGACCTTGATTTAACCCCTTCCATGGCTGGTGACTCTAATGATTTTCACAAGTTCTTTGTTGAGAAAATATCTATGATTAGATCATCAATGTTTGGCTCTGTTTCTGAGTTTATGTAACCGGTAGGGCAGAACGATTAATTGCTTATGCAGATGTGACAAAAGGAGATTTTCTAATCGCAAAGGCTGCAATTTGACTGGCAGTGAGTGGTTAGCGCAATGCTAATATACATTGAAAAACCCATAGGGATGCTAATGCTAATATTGCTGATTACATTGTTGCAAATTACGAATTAGGAACGTGCCAAATTATTACATTTGGAGTCTAACAAAAAGTAAAAACTGTTATTAATCAAATAATTACAGACAGATATTTTAGTAAAGCTAGAAAACTGTAAGAGACTTTAACCCCACTGGCTAGCAGCTATGAACGAAATTGAACTACCGAAGCTCTGCATGGGCAAAACGTCAAAAACTCTCAAATCAAAATACTTCAATAAAATGGGACACACTTCCTGCAAATCAATTTTCACAATTTATGATAATACCCATGGTCCTTCAATGGATGTGCTCCTGGCTGCAAAGCATTGCACCTTAAAATACAAAATTTTCTTTTTACTTGTGAGTGTTTATGTAGACAAATAAACTTGTTGATATGATATGTAGATAAATATGTACATACATAAACTTGTTTATATTCAGTACAAGTTACATAGATTTTTTTTTTTTTACTTTTTGCTTCTGTTAGTTGAAAAATGAGAAAAGCCCCTTGAGAAAATAATCGTGAATTAAATCGCAATTGCAATATTGAAGGAAAAAAATCGCAATTAGATTATTTTCCTAAATCGTTCAGCCCTAGTCACCGGCCATGCCTCGTGCCACATTAGCCTCTTTTGACCCAGTCTCTTTAGCTGAGTTGGAAAGGCTAGTCTTCTATCCAAAGCTGGCTGGCTTTCCTTTTGATGCACTGCTGCCTCGTGTCTGTAAGGAAGCCTTCTCCTCACTGGGCCCATTTATACTAACCATTATAAATGGCAGCCTGTGTTCATGTTCAGTTCTGACTTCTATAAAAGATGCGGCAATACAGCCAATATTAAAGATGTCAGGCTCTGGTATGTCTGTTTTGGAAAATTAAAGGCCCATCTCTAAACTTCCTTAGACCCTAAGTTACTGGAAAAGGTTGACTGTCAGTAGTTGGTGTCTTTTTTAGACGGTTCGGAGATGTTCAGATCTGGATTTAGGGCTGGACAAAGCATGGAGTCTGCACTGTTAATGGTGTTAAATGATATCTTAGTAGCTATGGATCAGGGTGCAGCTGAGGTGCTGTTGTTATTGGACCTAACAGCAGCCTTTGACACTGTCGACTATGAAATTCTGCTGGATCGCCTGGAGCGATTGGTGGGGATCACAGGGTTGGCTCTTGAATGGCTGCGGTCATACCTCTTGGGTAGGAGGTTTTGGGTCATGGTGGGCGATGGTGTGTCACCTTGGGGAGACTTGCGGTGGGGGGTACCACAGGGTTCTGTCCTGGGGCCACTCCTCTTTGCTCTTTATTAATGTCTCTTGGGGGCTCTCCTGCACAGTCATGGTGTTGAGTTTCTTCTGTATGCAGATGACTGCCGGATTTATTTTCCTTTGTTTCCAGGGGAAAGGGGTTCCATTTCTAATCTTCTGGCTTGTTTGGATGATGTTAAGTCCTGGCTCACAGCTGATTACCTCCATGTGAATGAGAGCAAAACAGAGCTTATTACATTCCTCCCACCTAGTAAGGTGGGTGAAAGTTCTGCTCCCAATTTAGATGTTCTCTCTCCCTACCAGAAGTCAGTTGTCACCAGCGTGGGATTGAGGCTGGATGTAGAACTCATATCAGAAGCTCACATCAACATGGTTGTACGAGCCTGCTTCTTCAACCTGCGATGGCCAACCAAAATCAAGCGCACTGTCTCAAGCGCATATGGAGTCTGTGCTCCAGGCATTTGTTTTATCCAGGCTCGATTATTGTAATGCTTTATATGTTGGGTTTATACTGGCAGCACTGAGACGTCTACAGTTGGTTTAGAGCTCTGTAGCCAGATTTCTGACAGGGAAGAGGAAGTGGGCACACATCACTCCTGTGCTGACCTCATTACACTGTCTCCCTGTAGGTTTTCAGGCAAAGTTTAAAGTTCTGTGCTATGTCTTCCAGTCTCTTTATGGTGGTGTTCCACCATACTTGGCAGCACTAATAAAAAGACATACCTCATCACGAACTCGGCTGACTTGGAGCTACTGACTGTCCCACAGACTGGGTACAGGTCTAAAGGTGGTCGGGCTTTCTCGGTCTTGGCTCCTTCTCTCTGGAATGAGCTTCCACTCGATATTAAACTGTCACCATCACTGCAGGTCTCCAAGAGTCGTTTGAAGACTCAATTTTATTGTTTGACTTTTATGTGACTTGGTTTTGTGCTTTAACCTTCTGGAGGCAGGTGTTGCAGATTTGCAACGTTAAAACCTACCTACCTGGTTATTCCACATACGTGTTTCATGAGCATTTTTTAACTCAGAAGTACCCCTGAAGGACTTAGTTGTTCGTCCTTTTATCAAAATTCATTTAGAGCCTGAGAAGGTTAATGCTCCTTTTACATTTGTCTGCATGTTGCTTTTATCTCCTTTTTATTGCTCTTCATGTTTTTAGTGTATCTTATGTTCAGCGCTCTGCAGGCTCCCATAAAGCCAGTGGAAGGCGCTTTGTAAATAAAATAAATAAAGATTGAAATAATGATTGTGACGGTTATTTGGATGCCTGTTGTTTGCTTTCTGTCTCTTCTGATGAACAGTGGATGAAAGTAAGTATGAGTAACATCGTTTTCCCTGAAGGGGTATCTCTGTGACCTTTGACCCCAGAGATACCAACACAAAGAGCGGCGGCGGCGTGCCGTTGACCGTGAGGAAACAGTCTGGAGGAAACAAAGAGCTTTTCTGAGACGTTAATGGAACAGGAAGTCTCTGACTAAACCCAGGTTCTTCAGATCCTGACCCAGATTCACCGCATCCATCCTTCTGGAGAGGTTTTGGCAAAAACAAACATGGACACAGATCCTGGATAAAGTCACACTCTTTTATTTATGTGTGCTTTTCTAATAAACAAACGAAAAACTACATAAGAAAAACGTTTTTCTCTTTTTCACATAGTTAGTCATTCCTGGTGGATTTATTCAGGAGAATGTCAACAGACTTAATCGTGTCAATAATTACTAATGAAAACAGATTGGTGGTAATTTATGAGCTGATTTATTTGAGCTGCAGCCAAACTTGTATTTTGTCTTGGCTGAGCCTCTCAAACAAAAAACAGAACATAAAATCCATCTTGACCATCAATAATTCAGAGCCAGCAGGGATGGAACGGGAGTTTAACGCTCTGACGTCAGAAGCTGTCGGGGTGGGGGGCAGCGTTGCCTGAGGCGGCCGAGCAGAGGAGAGGAAGGGATGTTGGCACAACGAAGGACGACGACATCACCAACATCCAATAAAAACATCACAACAGAAGCTGCTCAGCGGCTCGCTTCACCCAGAGCTGCATCAGCCGGAGGACGAAGAGCGAGAGCGGGCTGCCACTTCACTGATTAACAGACTGAGATAGAAACAGGAGGAGTGCTGGAGTCTAGCGAGCAGTTCTGTGTGTGGAGCTTTGAAATATTAATGGAATCAAACCGATTTGTAGCAGGAAACATTCATCTGATGTGAACGGAAACGCTCTGAAACACAAACGTTCTTCCCCATCTCTGCTGACTGACCTAAAAGCATGTTCCCTCTTGATCCGTCGGAAGAAATTCAACAAAATAAAAGCCTGCAGCAGATTTAGGAACCGTTCATGAGATCTCATGTTTCATCTCCTCACGCTTGGATTTCTCATCACTGCCTCTGCGCTTCACTGACGAACCCGAGAGTGGATTGTTACTCTGCAACCCCCCTTCCATAGGCCCGTAAGCCCCCCCCCCCGAGTGGATTACACACACACACACACACACACACACTCTGAACGCCTCAGCCTCCTCACTCAGACGCAGGTTGTCTCATGGCCGAGGGGCGAAACAGGACTGACCCTCAGAACGGTTTGGTTCCATCAGAACGTTCCGATAACAGAGGGTCAGTGAACGTTCAGCCACTCCGAGACGAGAGCCCCGGCCTTATTCTGCTGATTAAGGAATCACCAAATCAAGTCTGAGACCAAATCAGAGACATTTCTACAGTAAACCCACATAATCTCCACGTCTACGGAGGGAGGGCTTTCTGATGGCTGTAGAAACACAGGATGTTATTTTGATACCCTGAAATTCAGTTTAGGCCAAAAACAGTTTTAAGTAGTAGGATTGACACTTTCAAACCTATTTTTACATCCTACACAGACAACTAAAGTAGCACACACACGCCTCCTTAGCTAAAGTCCACCTGCTGCGTGTGTGAGCCTGATAAATCCGACCTGCTGCACTTCACCACCTCTAAACCAGGATGTGAATCAAAGAGGTCCAACTAAAGTGGTGTTTCCTGCGACACCATCCAAATAAACACACACCCAGTTCTTTGCAGTCGTTTTGGATGAATTATTAAAAAACGACTCGGTTGACCCAAAAATAAGCCCCATAAATAACAACATCAGCTTCAGTTTTCATCCTCCTGAGGCAGGAAAGTGGTTGGATAGGAGAAAATAAAACCAGAGCTTTTAACAGGAGATGTGAGGATGTGTGTGTTTCACATTAAGGTGGTTTTTCAGCTACATAAACACAGTTAAATGAAAGAAAACTGGTCTGAATCGATTACCTGTGGTTACTATGGCAACCCAAATGAGCCGCTGTCCGCAGCCTTAACATTTCTTCCTTCTGTTTTAATGTTTTTAAGCATAGCAATCTGATTTTAACAAGGTGGTTATTGTGAGTGTTTCCGCCTCCTCAGCAGCTTTAGGAACACCTGAGGGGGGAACCTGACCCTTCAGCGAGCCGCAGTCCCACCTGAGAAGAAGCTTTTGGTTCGGAGAAAGCTGACGCTGAGCCTCAGGATGGACAGCTTGTCCAGGCTGGAGATGACGTCTTCAGGGAATGGCAGCAGGCTGGCGAGTCGATCCAACTCCGAGTTCAGGCGGTCACGATGGCGTTTGGACGGGTTGGACTTGGTGCCCTCTGCAGGAGTGGGTTTGACTCTGGAGAGGATACAGATACAAAAAAATATCTAATGTGCATATAAGTGTGTGTAACATATATGGCATGTTTGTCACTCAATTGTACTACATTTTATATTATCTTACGCGCACATGTACTGTTTTTAAATAACAAAACAGATTTAAGACAGTCAGATATTCAAAGCCGTGCTGTTTGAGCTTAGGAGCCAGAGAAGGACCCTGATCTTCTGCTTCAGAAGACAGTTTGAAATATTTATGCTGGAAAAGTCATGAAAACTGAAACAAACACAAATAAAATACTAAAAACCCACAAAAAGCACACAAACCTATCATGCACTGACACAAAAAAGGCACTGAAAAGGAAAATGTTTCACGGAGATGCAACAAACAGTCTTATAAAACAAGAATATCCGCAGGAACACACTAAAAAAACTAAAGCAGTGGATGCTAAAGAACCAGAAAATAAATGATAAATGGCCCGCACTTGTATGGCGCCTCTCAGAGTAAGGACTCCAAAGCGCTTTACACTACAGTGTATCATTCACCCATTCACACACACATTCACACACTGATGATGATGAGCTACGATGTAGCCACAGCTGCCCTGGGGCGCACTGACAGAGGAATAAAGCATAAACATATCAACAAAAGAAAATGATAATTTAATCATATAAGAAAACACAAAAAGCCAATAAGGAGGAGAAAGGGCAATAAATGTTAGCAAGAAGTGTTAATGCACGCAGTAAATGCGGACTGCAAACCAAAACTGCACACAAAGATGGAATGACCAGCAACAAGACAATTTACGAAGGACAAAAAATATATTTTTAATATTAAAATGTAAAATTACCTCTGAGAAAAAATACATGGTGTAATAAACAACTAAAAACATAAAACAACTCGGAATAAACCGGCACAGTTGAGGCCTAACCCAGATTATTAGATAATAATCAGGTAATAGTTTAATTAGGCTGAAGATTCCACCTGCTGCCTACAGGAGGCGCTGCGGAGATAATCCCATGTGCACAACCCTTCAAGGGGATTAAAGTGTATAAAAATGTTTAAAGCATCTTCATTTGGTGTGGAACATCTTTAAGGTGTTACTTACCCCCGCTGAGCCGGTTTTCGTCTTTTCCTTCCGGCGTACATTTTATTATTTAACAGTAAATTCCGGTAGAGGCTGACTGACCCACAAAAATCCGGTCACCAATAAATGTCAAACATCCTGGTCCGTTAGGGTCCACTAGGGTCTAAAGAACCTCCTCGCTGCGTTTAAGATCTTTCTTGAGTAAGAAAGAAAATTAAAGGATTTATGAAGGAAGAATGAAGATGTTACAAGTCTGTGGCAAACACACTACCGCTCCCGGTAACGGTTCTGTCAGGTCCGCTCCGTTACCCCGTCCTGTCGCTCCGCAGGTGCGTCGAATCCAGCGAACTAAGCCTGCCCCGGTTTCTTCTCACATTCTGGGGCATCAGCGGAAAAAAAACCCGCAATATAAAAGCGTTAAAGTCCGGTATTTCTTCCCTGTCCCGGTCCGTCAGCTCCGCCCTCCTCCCGGGATCTGCTCGTTGTGAGACCGGAGCGGCGCGCGCTCTTCCCGGAGGAGTTGCGTTGTATGGTGGGTTGCACGTGCCAGGTCTGAGCCTGCTTGTATGACATGTAGAACGTGCCACACCAGCAGCAGGAGACCACCCCTGAGGGACATTCGCATGGAACCTAAATCCAGTCAGTGATGTGCAGTCAGGGTGTTTTCTGTCACATGACAAAGCACTAACAGTGATGAAAGAAAATCTCCATTTTCCTGCTCCGTAAAAAAATTTCCTGGATCATTTCAACATTTTTATAGCTGAATTTATGTGTTTGCTATTAGGGATGTAAGAAAATATCGATATAGCAACATATCGTGATATTTTTTCATGCAATATTTCAGAAGCTGTGTGTATAATTTTTGGAAGAATTTACATGCAAAAATTTAAGTCTTTTCTTTTCTTTTGGTGCAATTCAAATGCTGGCCGCTAGTTGGCAGCTAGTTGGCAGCAGTGTAAATCTCTAATATCGTCTGACTGAATGTATCGCAATATGTCGTGATACATTGTATCGTCTCCCCTCTTTCGTAATACGTATCGTACTGCCATAATTTCACCAATAAACATCCCTATTTGCTATTTAATAGAAGAAGCGAGACGTAAGGTATTAATGAGTTCTGCCTTTATTCTGAAGGCACTTCGCCGCACACAGTGACTGATGCAGGAAGTAGATTCATCCTGTCTGTAAATCGCCAACACAAAGGTTTGATTACACATGCGGGCATTCCTCAGACTGTCTAGTATTTTTGATGAATGCGTGAGCACTTTTTAGTTTCTCTGATCAGTCGTAATGGAAGAGAAAAATGCATTAAGTACCATGGCTCACTGACAGGGGACAGCGTTGAGCCCCATAGATGCAGGTGCATGTCTGCTCTTCTACGTTGAGTGTAGAGTGGTGCAGACGAGGGTGAACCAGTTTATTCCTGTTCAAATAAAACGGAAGATTATGGCTGAAAAACTGAGGGAATTTTTAAAACTAGATCTTCAGTAGAAACCAAGCATCCATAAAACTGGTATGAAAATGAAGCCAACACCGAAGTGACAAAAATTGCAGTTCCACCCTCATCCACTGGGGGCTGGTGTCAGAAGCGAGCAAATCCTCATTGACTCCCATGTTAAAAATACCAATTTCACAGCAGAAATAAACATGTTTCCAGCCTGGTACCAAAACATGTTTTAGGTTTAATAGATCTAGTTTACACTCATGACAACTCTGGGGGGGGGGGGGATTTTTTTCTCACTCTTCTGTTTAAGTGTATTAAAAGCCTAAAATTCTGTATAATTAATGAGCATCAGACCCACAATTATACATACAATTATCAACAAAATTGCTGAGTTTGCAACACTATGGGAGGAGCGTTTCATTTGCAACTCAGAACAGGAGGGAGGAGCAAATAATCGGCTTGTTTTATTTTAATAATCGTAAAATTCGATTAATGTCTCTTTCCGGAGCATTTCTCTTATCCGATGGCACCATCTAGTGGCTGACAAGCATATCACACAAAAAGTCTGTCGCTCTGTTTGTTTAAGATGGCAACTTCATGTTTCTGTTTATAAATGTGCTTCTGTAGCCGACAAACAGCTAAAACACGTTGTTTTATGAGTATTATTCTCATGCCATGTAGTGTTTTCATATATTTACATTTTAAAGACTTTCTTGTCCATGAAAAATTCATCAACTCTGCATCAGCCGAGGTATTCCTTAAATTGAAAGCGTCTAAGTGGTAGTTAAACGCTATTGGTTAGTTCTGGTCGGTGCTCGGTTTCCTATTGCATGGAGCTCTGCGGGGCAGGGGCCGTGCATAGCAAAATAAATAAATAAATACCTGACGTATTGATTACATTATATCGCAACATAATGAGATAATCACAGTTACGGATTTCTGAAAATCCATAGTTTCTGAAAGTAGGAGACTCTGGAAAGCTACTTTAATTGAGCAGCCCCACTTGTGAACTAGACCGAACTTTGCAAAGTTTGGTCTAGGAATGCTCCATTGGAACCTCAGCGGCCCCTGGCAACATTCTGGCTGGCCAATCACAGCTCCCAAGGGTTTCAAACTGACAAAGAGGATAGATCGCTATAATTGGCCCACCACTGTGGACCAATCACAGTCCTCTATCCGCTTTGGGGGCCAGTCAGGGCCCTCTATTCATCTGGAGGGTGGGATGATGCGACAGAGTGGAACAATATGGCGACAGCTCTTTTGAAACAGCTTTTTTTGGACTTGGGCTTTATTAGAATCAGGAGCGGCTAGATGTACTCAAGTCCTTCTTCAATAGCAAACTGCCTTGTTTACATTGCGGTGAGTATGTCACGTTGTTCGTTTTCCAGTAGCATGCGGAGATCTTCAGTTCAGTTCAGTTCATTTTTATTTCAAACATTTCACACATGTATCATTACAAAATATAATTCCATTATTTGTTTGAAAAGGAGTAGGCAGAAGTATTTGCTTACTTGTCCCTACCCCCAAGTTTTACCTCTTATTCATTTAATTTTCTTTCAGTCTTAAATTAAACAAACAACATATAAAATATATATATATATATAAAAAACAAAACAAAACAAAACAACATATGGAAAACAGAGAATGTGTACATTTGCAGATTCACCAGTTATGGAGAAAAAAGAAAAACCAAACAAACCAAAAAACACTGAAAAAGAAGCACAACAGCATAACCAGCCACATTTGCCATCCTGGGTTAACCCTGTTTTCTTCATTCTTACACTTATTTAAATTTAGGTTTTTATATTTTACTTCAAACTGGTTTATGTTTTTACTTTCTTTTATCTCTTCTGTTAGACCGTTCCATAATTTAACTCCTGCAATTGCGATTGACATAGTTTTTAAAGTTGTTCTAGCACTTTGTATTTTTAAATTCCATTTCCCTCTTAAGTTACACCCACCTTCTCTTTCTTTGAACAACAAACAGATTTCCCTTGGAAGCAATTTATTTCTTACTTCATACATTATTTGTGCAGTTTTGAGCTTCACCAAGTCTTGGAATTTAATAGCTTGCATTTCGACAAAGAGTGCAATTGTATGGTCCCTGTACCCCACATTATTTATTATTCTAATGGCCTTTTTCTGTATTATAGTTTTCGTCTGTATGTTACTTTTGTATGTTTCCCCAGACCTCTATACAGTTACTCATATATGGCAGTAAAGCACAGTGTAATATGTGCAGGGCTTTCTGATCCAGCATATTCTTTGCTTTCCCCAGGATGGCAACGACCCGTGCTAATTTCCCCCGAACATAAGTAATGTGTTGCATCCAACAGAGCTTATGGTCAATAATCACACCAAGAAATTTAATTTCATTTACTCTCTAAATACACATTATCCCACACATTTATATTTTGTTGTTTTTCTTTTGGTTACCAAATAACATAAATCTGGTTTTATCTAGATTCAATGATAATTCATTTATATCAAACCACTTTTTTTAATATTGTTAATTCCTGTGTGATCAACTCCAAGACCTGTGGCAATTCCACCCCTGAACACAGTAGATTTGTGTCATCTGCAAATATTGTCACGTTGTGGTGTAGGTAGGACCCAAAACGCAGAACCCAGGATGACAAGAGGCAGAAGGTGGTTCAAAGTAAAATCCTTTTATTTTAGGACAAAGAACAAAAGTAATCCGAGGCAGCGAGCCAAAGTCCAAAACGTCCTGGGGAAAAAGGAACACCCAAAGCTCTTCTTAGAGCACAAAAACCTGGAGACAAAGTTCCAACAGAGCACGAGCACCGCAGACAACATCCAACAACATTCAATGGACCGACAAGAACACAGAGACAGACAGGGCTTAAATACGCTGGGAGGAGCAATCAGGGAAACAGGAAGCAGGTGTATGGGGTGAGCTGCAGGAGGGATGGCAGGTGACAATAATACTCTAACTGGGGAAACAGAACAGAAGGGCAGATAAACCTAAAATACAACATCTAAACCTAGAGACTGAGGGAAGGACTCACACAAACAATCTGGAGGAGGACATAATACACACACCGGCACACACACACGCATACACTGGGTTGTGGAGCACACACATACACGCAAATCTACACAACACTAACTGGGCAGGACACACACACACACATACAGAGTTGGGGAAGGCTGGAGCTACCGACTGGAGGCTGAGGATGACTAAATAAAACATTGTACCTGAGGTGATAATATGAGGGCCTACAAACAGAAGACACAATATATAGATGCAGACAAAAGACACATGAGGGCGCCAAAGGGCTACAACATAAGACAGATAAAAGGGATGCAGACAAGGACACATGAGGGCGCTAAAGGGCTACAACACAAGGGGAGAACCTGGAGTGGAGCACAAGAGGAGCTGGGGAACAAAGGGACACAAGAGGGAATCTAGAGAGGGATGGAGGACACCAGGAGGCACAAAAAGGGAAGGGGCTGATGCAGACCATGGCAAATATTACAAACTTTAAAATTGTTGATACTCTGCAGATATCATTTAAGTGCATAATAAACAATTTTTGTCCCAGTACTGAACCTTGAGGTACTCCACAGGCTATATCCATCAAATCAGATTTGTATTCATTTATTCGTACATATTGTTTCCTATTCCCTACATAGCTTTTTAGCCAGTCCCCAACAATTCCCCTAAACACGTACCTTTCCATTTTTTAATATAATTTCATGATTAACAGTATCGAACGCCTTTTTTACGTCTAAAAATGCATACCTCTTATTATCCATACAGTCCGTTATCGTTTCCATTAAATCTATCAATGCCAAAGTTGTTGATCTGTTGCTTCTGAACCCAAATTGGCTATATGTCAGTAATTCACATTTTTCCACAAAACTGTCAAATCTTTTTATGAACAGTTTTTCCAGTATCTTAAAGAACTGGGAGAGGATCGACACTGGTCTATAGTTTGTAAAATGATGCTTTTCACTGGTTTTGTAAATGGGAATAACTTTAGCAACTTTCATATCTTGTGGAAAAAACCCTTTTTGAAATGACAAATTGAATAT